CCTAATCTTGCGGTGATCTATATCCCAGTGACAAAATGGGGACAAGACACATGTTGTATTGTTGCCACTCTGGATAGCGGTCTTTGAGTGGAGCATTAGTAGTAGATGTAGGTGGATTAACAATCTACTTATGATGGATGTAATGCCTATATGAGATTATACCATGAATGATCATAGTCATAAATATAAATATTCCAATTTAATCGCTGCCCAACTGTAATTTGTTCACAACACCACTTGCTTGTTCAAGAGAGCCTGTTATCCATTACTGAAATCTTCATCGGAATTGCTACTTTTACTTTAACGTTTTACTTTGCTACCAACTATCTATATCATTTGCATTTTAATTTCGTAACTAGCAAGACAAGGGGCTTGACAACTCTCTTGTTGTGTTGGGGACAAGCGTGTTTTGTGCTTTGTGTGCAGGTACCACTCACTTTGTTTGCTAGGTGATCCTACTGGTTCGATTAGTTGTTGCTCTAACCGAGGGAAATACTTACTGCTAGGTTACAACACCCTTACTCTTGGGGGATCCCAACCACTCTTACGAGAGAGCAAGCAAGGCCTATGGAGTGGAGGTTAAGGAGGGAGAACAACAACTAATTAAAATCAAATATGACATAAGAGGGCCTCCCTTTGATGCAGAAAATAAGAGAGAAAGAGGTATTGCCATGAGAGGAAGATGAAAACATGCAACACCTCGAAACCATTCCGCTCATGCCATCAGGAAGAAGAATATGAAGCAATAGAGAAAGAAACTCGACATAGAGAGAAGATATCGTGGACCAGAACCGTCGAGGAAGGGTCAAGAAAGCAGGATTTTTCAAGCTCCAGTGGATGACGAGAAAGCGAAGGAAGAATACAACCAATATAATTTTTTTGATGTCATGATATTAATATATTCCCTTTGTCAATAATAATAATTTTTGATGTGATTTATGTTTATGAGTCGTTTTGTGTCTTGTCACTAACGTCTAATGGCCTTCTTAGCTGCTTTCAATGATATGAGACCTACCAAGTGAAAACATGATCACTCAACCCGTAAAATAGTTGTGAACCAACCTATGGTTGGATGGTTAGAAGGACAGTGGTTATGAACCAACTTGTGATTGAATGGTTAGGAGAAGAGTGATAGTCCTAGATTTAACATTGGTGCACACATTTTTCTGGATTTATTTCAGGCCTTTCGGCAATGTCGTTCATTGGGAGGAGATGTTCCTGTCGAGTATGAAAGCGTCTGTGGCGGCTTCATTAATCTCAAGATGATGTGCTGGATCGGTCCCTCGGAGATGCTCATAGGAGATAGGGTGTGCGTGCGTGCATTTATAAGGGTGAGCATATGTGCATAGGTATGAGCATTTATGTCTGTACTGTTTAAAAAAAATCCTAAAATAGTTATTGAACTATGATCATATATGTAAATCAAATGTGATTGAGTTATTTAATATAAACCTACAAAATCCAGTCTGCATATTCATGAGAATGAGAGAGCGTGCATTGTTTATTCACCTAGTAGATACTACATATGTGCAATGCATGTTAATATTAGGCCAATCGGTCTTGGGTTTGGATTTGGATGCTCTAATTAATACACAACAAATTATTACTAGCAGATTTTAATCTTCAGATTTTTGGTATTTATTACAGGATTAATCTTGTGACCTATATAGATCAAAAAATGCCTTTTTAAAAGTTTATTTAAGGAGGATGTATTGAAGCGCAACCCTTATTATTTTATTATAATTATTAGGTGCGCGATGCGGCGAGCGTCACACGACCTCAACGATAGCTCCGCCCACCGTTAATCAGCCGGTGGGATGCTCATCGACGCCGTTGTTGCCGCCTACATGGAGATTGAGGACATAGCTCATGCACTGGTGCACGCACAATTCCATCCTTGACGGGTCATGGTAGTGATGTTGACATTTCATCTCGCAGAAAGCTCTGCTAGGATGATGATGCTCCCGGCTGTGGCACTCGTTCACGCACCGTCGTCTCCCGGCAGGGTCTTGCCAGTGCTGGCACTTGATGTCGCACATGTCGTTGCTTTGGGCATCGGCACGCCAGCCGACCTCCACCTCCAATGCGTGGGGGTGGCGGTCGACGCCGTTGTTGCTATCCGCATGGAGGTTGAGGCCATAGCTCATGCACTGGTGCACGCACAGCTTCATCCTTGACGGGTCGTGGTAGTGATCTTGGCACTTCATTTCGCAGAAAGCTCTGCGAGAATGATGAAGCTTTTGTCTGTGGCACTCGTTCACGCACCGTCGTCTCCATGCGAGATGTTGCCCGTGTTGACACTTGATGTCGCACATGTCGTTGCCCTGGTCATGGACACGCCCACTGACCTCCTCCTCCACCTCCGCGGCGACGGTGGCCGTGGCCCCATCCTCCTGCTCCGCTCCTACGGCCGCAACAATGAGCAACACCGCCACGAGAAAGAGGAACCAGCAAACACCACCCTTGTGAACGAACACCATTGCTGCCTACACGAGACTAGGAGAGACGGATGACAAGAGAATGGAGAAGCGGGAGGCCGGCGGCGGCCTTTATATAGAGACGCGTGAAATATTTGTAGTTATTTATCGGGTCTCAAGCAAAGCTGATTTAGGGCCGGCCCTTTGCGAATGGGAACGTCTGTAGTCGGTAGTAGTGCACGTAATGCAAAGAAAGGTTGTCTAAAGAAACTGCAAAGAAAGGAAAAGGGCATCCAGATAAACACACATCGCGTGTGGCCAATGTTGGGAAATGTCGGTCTACCTAAAAAAAATGTAATATCGGTGTATATTCTAGCTGCTCAACTGAAATACTACTGGTAATGTATGTACTAACACAACGCATGCATGCTTTATCATGATACGAAGCAACACAAATTTTAGATAAAGATGGAGTAACATATGCACGTACACAGATCTAGCGATCTAGCGTGGGTCTTCCCCGCTTTCATCTATCGTGGTACAACTATGGTTTTGCCTGACAGCTAAGAGATGTTTCTATCACATCGATCTAACATATGTCGCACACTGTTTTAGTGTCTTGTGCCTCACTCATGATTTCGCTGGACATCTAAAAGATGTTTTTCGCACACCCATTTAACCAAAAGATGTTTCTAGCACACGTCTTCCACCCCTTTTACCCAAAAAGACTCCACGCCTCGCTTTATTGATAAAGCCATCTCCTATCGTTTTCAGTGGCCTCACTTATAATCTTATCCAACTAAGAGATGTTTCTAGCACATAGAGCTAGCACATGTCTCCCACCACTTTCAATGTGTTGTATCCTCGTGATTTTGTTGGACAACTAAGCGATGTTTTCTTTTTTAGGTAACTAAGAGATGTTTCTAGTGCACCAATTTGCTAGCACACGTCTCCACCACTTTTAATGTGGTGTGGCCTCACATATGAATTTGCCGGACAACTAAGAAATGTTTCTAGCACACCGACCTGGCTCATGTCTTCCATCACTTTTAATGTGTTGTGGCCTCACTCACGATTTTGCCGGGCAACTAAGAGATGTTACTAGTACACGTCTCCCACCTCTTTTAATAGTGGCGGATCCAGGATTTGAAGTTAGCCAGGGAGGATTTCTAAAGGAAACAAAAAATCAACACCATGATACAATTAAATAAGACATTCAACAAAATTAATTGCCCAAGTAGTATGCAATCAGGCAAGATAATCAACAAAACTAATTGTTCGAAGTAGCTTCATTCTCAACTGAAATTTATATAAAGTGTAGTTTGAACTCCTACAATCTAGCAGAAGACAAGATTGCAGAGAGAGCATAGCCTGCTGCTTCCTCTGTTGGCTGCTCCCTTGCAATTTCGAGTGGGGCGCGTTATTATGGCGATGATGTCTCCCGTTCAGACGACACCCTCGGCGGAAACAGGTGGACTTCATCTTCCCCATCCAGTGCCATCGGTGGTACTTTGGCAGCACCGCGGTGAGGCGGCGTGTTAACGTTTGTGGATTTTTTAGATCAATCGACCATTGGGAAACCAACGGAATTGGGAGTGTCAAGGCTCAACCGTGCATAGACACTAATGAGCTTAAATTCAACTGGGTCTGTCCTACCAATTTCTGTGATTTAATTCTAGCCCATCTCGTAAAATGAAACCGTATCTTCTCTCCTTTCATCTTCCTGCTTGATCTCACTAACGATGCAGACATGCAGATCCGGAAAAAGAACATAGATTGGCGCTCTCG